TTATAATATACCGACTATACGCGTACTTACGTACTCACACATACGCGTGTATATGTACGTATATGTATATATGCCTACAATATGTAATTTTACGCTGGCTTGAAGTTTTGTGTATATCGTAAAACTCCATGTAATTGACAGTTAAAATATTTTACAATAACTCGAGGTACAGTTCGCGTATATACAACAGTATCAAACTATAACACGACGTAGGCACACGCACACTAAAATATATGTGTATATATATATATATAATATGTAATATATTTACATCATCTGTTAGCTGTCTGAGTGAACGAAAAAGATGGACGTTGTAATCGACGAATAATCGCACGCACATCGGCAATCGTATGTCGAAACGAAAGACTCATACTCGACTTATATAAAAGAGAGAGACATCAGCCGACAGAAACGGCAAAGAATTAATACGTTGTGTTGTAAATAAATCGATCTTTAAATAATTTATCTACGTTTTAAGAAGTAACTTGAGCTGCGTTATACAGATCCACAAATATGTGTCTCGACTTAAAAGTTAAAATATCGATGAAAAGCAAACGATCATTATTTTTCCCGCGCAGCTGCGACTGGGAGTTAATCAACGGCAGCATTGATCTTATCTGGAAAATCATTATCCGCTAACATTGATAGAAAGTCATTCGTCATGATTATTCCACATGGTCTGCACGCGACGACTGGCTTTCGGATGCAGAGCGTGAATACATCGCCGTGTCATACATTCACTCTACAACGTACAACGTACTCGTTCGGTGATCATTTTAACGAAGAAATACATCCATATAATCGCAAAAGATAAAAAAAGATAAAAAAAAACGGACGCAAAGGCGCATTGCTCATTTGAGAGAAGTTAGGATCGCTTTAAAAGTTCGCCGTATCGTCGTCCGTGTCTTTGTCCCTGGGAAGAGCCATTAATATTCTAAGAGGCGGAGACAAAAGTGAACCAAGCCAACGTGTGAAACGCGGAACTTAAAGGCACCTTTACGTGTGCTCGAGAGATTAATTATTACGACCAGAATAATGGGACTTTTATATGGGGAATGCGGCTGTGTAGGATGGTTTTATACACATATATATATATATGTAAATTTTTTTCAAAGGGACAAATGCGGTTCTTCATATTCAATTATCCTTTTGTCAGAGAACCATTTATTCGGCTGATTTCGCTAAATATTGCCTTCACATGAAATTCGAATATTTCATTCTGTTTTCGCAGAACATAGAAAAATGAAATGAAATGAATTTCGTTTCATTGTAGAATGTAAATTTTATTTTCCCAACATTTCGTTTCAATTGCTCGCTGCGTTATCCTGTACACAATCGCCGCAGAATATCGTCCGAATTGCATCGTATACAATTTCCGGTGTGTCCATTATGTTTTTCGCCTTCAAAACAAGCGGTGTATCGGTTTTTAAATTAAACCGCTTAAGAGTTTACACACCGCCGATAATACTCGTCGACGGGAATACATTATTCGTTTGTACGGCTGAGTATCTTCGAAAAACGGAATGACAGCGTGTGGCTTAATCAGCTGATAATACACTATTATACACGAAGAGCAAGCAAGCAATATAAACGACCGCATGATGCACATCCTAGTTTTCGGCGTTACGGAAAGAATTTAAGAACGAAATCCGGCCAGACCTGTGACTACTCCTTTTACAGTAATGCGTTCAATCTAGTGTGTCCCGAATGTAATTTTCTAATCGAAATGTCTACGCGATGCGTTTATACGTCACTGTGTACACACCACGCATCGTTTCGTACTTTAGTAAAAATATACAAAAGGTAGCGTCTCATGAGAATAAAAATGGTAGTTTTAACCGTACTAGAAAAAGAAGTTGCAATGCCTCGTGTATATATAAATACGCATATAATGTATATATAATATATATGTATGTATATGATTTATGGAAATATTTCGTACGTTACATTTTTTTTTTTTAGACAGTGGTACGTGTTATGTAGCTCAAGCTGATATCCATATTTCCTATCTACATCTATTAACGATTAACCTATCGGCCTGTCCGATCGCAACGCATTTCGCACTTGAGTGCATTAATCTTTATTACAACGTAGGGAGATTCGCGAGTCATGACACTCGTATATATACTTGAATATAGCACCGGTAATGTATTTCTCCGATTGAAGCGAAAAATGCAATGTCGTCTTGCAAATTTCGACGACTGTGTTGGAATAATTAATAATACGTACGTTATAAATATATAAAAATGCGCACACGCGCTATGTAACATGATATATCCAAATTTATTATTAAATATAATTTCAAACAATACAATGCCAATTGTTCGATGATAAAACAATAAAAATAAGCAAACGATATACAATTTTATATTAATATTCAAAATTTTCGATATTTTTTTTATACGCGATAGATTTATAGTTTCTATTTTGTAAATTTAGCACAAACATGCATTCTTTCTTCACATCTAAAATTTAGAATCCTTAAACATGTGCTAATAAAATTAATAAACATTTAATCAATAATTTTATATCAATAATTTTAGCTCTTGTTTATCTATCTTTGTTAACGTTCGATAAATTTCAATAAAATCTTTTATTTTACGTTGTCTTCGGACAACATCTTATTCTTATCACATATATACACTTCCGTTTTTCATACCTTAACATTTGCCAATTCAATTTTCGTAAATGTGTTCGATGTGACAGTGGACACTGAAGCAAATCCTTTACCTCGACAATCATCGCTCCAATCGTGTAAGTGGTTTTTCGCAAAAGGGATCATCAAAGGGCGATCGATCGGCCGATTGATTAACGCGATGCACTTATAACACTTTCAAGCGGGTCTCCCTATGCTACGACCCTTTTTAGAATTTCCATATGTGGCTTTGAGACGTTGGTCCACTTAGTTTAGTACGTTATTATCACCTTTTATTAATATATACGATGCCGCGTGCGTCGCGTTTCGCACACGACCGGCATGAAATCTAGAATAACATCGATCTCTCGTCGCGATCGCAAATGGATGATAGCCGGGAATCGAAAAAATCGATATTAATTCCGGGCGGTGGGTCTGTAATCCTTTCCTAGTTGTATCCGCAAAACTTTTAATCGTATCACCGTGAAATGCATAAATCACACGAAGGAGGGGTATAATCCGATACATTAATCGCATTATGGGTATTTTTCGATTCGAACGGGAGAATTGCACAACAATAAGAGAGACTCTTATTGAGCCGGGTAATAAATCACACAAATATAGGCGCATGCACTCGGATATTTTATCTTAATATCCAAATCGGATGTATCAATTATCCGACAGTCAGTTCAGAATTTTCCACTGACAAAAGGAATCGTTCGTCGATGCCTCCGTGCGGTTTATTAACATTCGTACGACTCGATTATTCCAAAATAAAATGCGTGTCGTTATTGCAATTTACATTACGGATTATTTTTATCGTCGTTAACTCGGCTAATTCGGATAA